GACGCGAGAAAGGGCGGCGTCTTCGGCGTAGGAGCAGGGCGCTTCGGTGCGGGAGATCGCGAGTCGAGCAAGGGACTTAGTGCCGAAGGAAGGAATCGGGCGGGAGGAGGAATAGGCGCAGTGCAGAGGGGGAGAAGGCGAGCAGGAGTCCTTGCGCGATCGAGCGGGACCAACCTAAGTATAGCTAAAAATTTTAGAGCCGTTACGCGAAGAATTGAATGATTTCCTTTCAGGCACACAGCTTAAATGGAAAAGTTTAATGGGGGGAATTAAATGATAAATTTAAATTTAAATTTTGAATTTTGAAATTTCTGAGCTGAAGTGATTAGCCCGTGCTTAATCCATATCGAGCCTGAATCGAACCCGGGTCAGACCTGGGCGTAGTTCGGGCCCGCACACCATTAATAAAAAAAAAAAAATGATTTTCGTGCAGTTCGTGCGAGTGTGGAACCACAGCAATATGAGTGTCTTTTCTAGCTAAAATCGACGTTCCGGACGCGTCGGCGCGGTCCGTTCTGTCATCCGAGGTCGTTCGGACGAGTTCGTCGACGGGCGAGTCGATTCAAGTCAAAGTCGTGTGTGAGGCAGTGAGTGTGTGAAGTATGTCGTTAGCGAGTAATCGAGTCACAAAGGGTTCACCTAAGACTATTTGATCCTATAGGAACTCAATTTCGGGCCCTCTACATGTTGGTCCTTAGCCCTTGCAACTAAAAGTTGAGTGCTTGGAACCACTCATGCGAGTTCTTCACAAAAATGAGTCAAGAAGTGGCTTGAAGTTCTACGGGAGGTGGGCTCCATTACTAGTCTGCTAAGATGGTCAACCAGGAACTCCTAAGGCTAGATTATGGGTTATGGGAGTAGGAGACTAAGACCTCACAAAAATGAGGTCAACAGGTGATTGCTAAATTGTCTCTCAAAATAAACAAAACATTTTTGTTGTCCTTAAACTAAAGCAACAAATTTTTTGTTTAAATTGTGAGTTAGTAACCTGCAAATTCTGATATTTTTCCATTTTGGATCTTATCTAAAGTTGTATTTCAGACCCTCAACTTTTAAATGCCCTGCATCGACCTGCTTTTTTTAATCAATCTTGATCCCATATTTTTTTTACAACACGGCCTCTATTGTTGCCTGTGCCTCCATCGATTTGTGGTTACCCATTTTATGAATTATTGATATACTCTCTTCGTACATTACAAATCATATGGCACATCTATTTCATTGTCATATCCACTGTTTTATGGACTTCTTGTTTTTTGAGTATTTAATTATCACAATTCACATGATAATTGATCCATATTTGTTGTCTTCTAAGACTTATACTTTCTCTGATACACATTGCAGATGCCTGCTCTATCCGTTGACTTATATTTAGCTCATTGCTCAGACTTATTTGTAATTAAACTTTCATTCTCATTTTGTCGAATATTCATGTGAACTAGGAAATGCTATTCTATTTTCACTTCAGCTGTTTTGTGTATGATCCACAGACTGGCAGGTTATTGGGACAGGTCATGGAAATGATATTCTCCCTCATGTTGTCTTTTACATTTTCAACTTGGTCATGTCTTAAAAAATCTCTCGTTACTTATCCATGACAATATCACTCATTTTACTTGTTGTCAATGTCAATAAAATACATTATTTTTCCCTAACAGGGGTTATTGTGCTATTACTTTTTTTAATGTTGTTTGTTACTATGTTTTTGTGATGGAGATCTAAAAATTTTGTTGTTGTTGGGAGCAAAGAATATGAACATTGAGATGAAACTTTTGAGTTTTTAAAATGTTTGCATTCTTGTTGTCTTTTATATGTTTTTTTGTTTAATTTTTTGACATGCCTATTAGGGTGGCTGTTTCAAGAAACAGTGGTGTTCTTTGATGTCTTGATTTCTTATTTATGTATGGTTCTATTGGAATTATTAATTCGGTCATTTTCAATTTACTGCCTCAATTCATAATCAGTTCTTTTGTTCATTCATTTGAAAATTAGTTACTTTGTATGGAGCCGCATGTATACATATGAAAAATTATGAAATTTATGCTGATCCTTGTTGTTTACATGGAGAGAGAATTGGAATTTACAATCCTTGACTAGATGGAGGAAAATTCTGAGGAATTTCTTATTGCGGGTCATTCATTGGCTATATAAATCGGAACCTTAAGGCCCATTAAATTTATTGATCCTGGAGTAATGAATTAAAATTCTATTTTTTCCTTAGTTCTTTTTTATGTGTCGGTTGGATGTGTTTTTTCATGCACTTCTCAAGTGTTGATGACTGTTTTCTAGTGCTAACTATCTTACACCAACGTGAGGTAATGCATTTCAAATTTCTTTTTGTTGCACGAAACTTGATCGGTGCTGAAATTTTCTATATGTTCTTTTGATTTTAGGTTTTAACAAGCACTGAAATTATTGTTGGGATAAAAAGAAGTGCTTGCTATTTCTACATCAGTTTGCAAAATTTAATAATTGGTAGCATGTAGATTTTTTTTTAATCGTGCATCTAAATTGTGTTAGTAACGCTAGATTATTAACTACACCACGACAACTTATTTACCAACTTGCAAAGCTTATCTTAATATCATAACAATGACAGACTACTAGGATTTCGGCAATTTCCTCTAGGAAATGCTGGGAACTAAGGATAAATTTTTTTTGTCATAATTGTGCAATCACCTACAAGTTAAAACTTGTGTTTTCTTCTAGTAACTGGATTTGTGGAATGATATTATTGAGCTGCAAGCTGGTCAAGCCAATAGAGATCAGAAGAAAATGCATTATTTTACTTAGTGGCATCACTTCTACTACTCACACTTTTTAACATGTATTTATCAGCAGGCTGCCTTTTATATTATGAACAAGATTTTACTTATAACCTTTTTTAAGGCTTATTTGGATCTTAAAAAGCATTAGATTTATCTGGAAGAAGAGCATCCAGGAAATTAGTTCATTTGGGAAGTTTAGGTCCTATAGCTTTTGGTTGGTAAGAGACCTAATTTCAATTTAATCCACCTTTTGTGAAGAAATAATTTGGAAATTCATTTGGATAAGTGTTATTCAACCGAATTTGTCATACACAGTCTGGATAGAAGTACGTTGCGCAGTTCTCATTTTACTTTTACCCACTACAGAAGTAAAGAAATGTCCGGATCAAGTTTGAGCCCTTGCTCCGCAGATTTAACCAGCTTATTTTCTTTACTTGTGGCCTTTTTTATTTTTTACGCCCGTGTGGGACATAAAGATAAGACTGCTTTTAAAATGAAAAAAAAGTGGTCTGTGTTGCGTACTCTCAACACAAAGTCAATTTGAGAAATTCCTTATCTTATACCATATTCATGCAAAATCTCATGTTATGTTTCTTTGCTTATATCTAACTCAAAGTGTGATGCTATTAAAAATTATTCTCTATTTGCTTCTTTTTTATTTAGTTAGTATTCAATGTAACAAATGATTCGTGATAATTTATTGCCACAACAGCTGAATAGTTTATAAATTTATTCTTATCTTTTTATGGAATTCAGTCATGGCAATGTACACCTACGAAGGAGTTTTCATGGAACATTTTATCACTATGCACACAATCAGGAATGCTGTTTCTGGAAGTCAGCTTGATTGCCTTTTTACTTCAAGGAAATCATGCTGGTGATTTGGAAGCTTTCACGCGCACATTTGTTGTGTCCGGAGTTATAGTTGCAGTAGATGCACTGCTGAAGGTATTATTTATTGTGACTTCTTTACTATTTCTCTTCCATTTTATAACATGATCATTTATTATAATCCATGTCAGATGCTTCTTCTTTTATGTCCTATTATTTGTGTTATGTTTCAGAATTCTTCTATACAATTTTATTCTTGTAATTTTGACATGTTTCCATTTCCACTACTGTTTCTATTTTGTTTTGTTCATGATTTATATTGCTCTTTAGAACTCGGGCATTATAAATCTAAATCAAAACTTTTTAAATTTTTTTATGCATGAGGATAATTCCAGTTTTATATTTGTAACGATGCAACAATACTAAAGTGCTTAATTTGGACTAAATATATACTGGTATTAGATGTGCATTCGAGTGTTAAACAACCTTTTTGAAAGCTCTAGCATTGTCACACATTGGTTCACCTAGTACTAGAACATGATCATTTGTTAAACAACCCTCATCATCATCATTATACATTTGTTATTCTTCACCTTTGTGGACATTGTAATGGTCTTCGCGTCCCTCAAGTTCAAGAAGAAAGCCAATAATGAAGATTATACCTTCCAATTGCAGATGAAGGGAATGATAAAGCACAATCTGGAGATTTCAAAAAAAGTTCTCATGGGCATAAGTTAGTTTTGTTAGTCACCTTTTCCACGGGGTATAAAACTTTAGATTAAGTTTAACAATGTAGGTTATCTTATAGATTGGTCATTGCGATGTCTTGAGACACTAGAAGATTACCCATTCTTGCACTTGTGGTTTCAGTAGGGATTGATGATTTGCCCTATCTAGATCCCATGATTTTGTTGATGATGGAGGTCATGAACCCTAATTTGTTTTGTCAGCGGAAGTAGTAGATTAACATAACTTGAAAATGTTTTTCGGAAGACATGGACTGAGGAAATTTAATAATTGGAAGTTTGCTGAGTTGCTAATTTTAAACCGTCATAGATTAACAAAGGGATTTGGCTTATTAGATGCATCAAACAAAATAGAATGCTTGGATGCGTGACATTGACGAATACATGTAATTTGGTTGTAACAGCATTATAGGGCATTTTCATTCTTAGGTTAACGACCAATCAAGGCACGCATGCCTTATTTGTATTCTTATGGAATTTTGAGTTGGGTTTATTTGATAACACTGATCTAATGTTGACTTATTTGTGAGTTTGGGTCGAGCTGAATTCACCGCCTTTCATTAGCTTTGTTTGTAGGGCGGATCTTGCTTTGAGCACAATAATTAATATGTTTGTGTAGTTTTTTAGATTTTAATAATTTATATATATATTTTTTTCAATTTTGATATATTTTTAGAGATATTGCTTCCATATGCTTAAAGGGCATTCGTTAGAGACTTTTATGGATGACATTTTAAATATATGCATTTTTTTGGGGCGTTTTTTAAACTTTTGCGGTTGAGGATTGACTGGAGATTGTTCATTGGAGTTATTAGGGGCATTATGGATTTAATGACAACTTTCTAGGATTTAAGTTTTGATTTTGTTGCTTGCAGGTGGGATTAGAGTGGGCTATACCGGGGTAATCAAGCCTTGCTCAAGTGGATGCAACATTTGGGTTAATTTACTTTTTGTTTTGATAAAACAACTTTTTGGGAATATATATGGTTTGATTTGGTATGGTCCAACATTTAAAGGTAACTTTGCTTGATTCATGGTGACTAAATTAGGTTGGTTTGGGTATTTGGCATGTTGGCTGAGAGGCTTGATTTTACAAGCGGACTTAATGAGGTAGATCCAAAATAGTCTCAACGGGAATGAGATTTAATGCATTAGGCATTTTAGGGCGCATCTTTGGTGTAGGACTATGCTTTATTCTGGATGGAATGAATTTATTGCATTTTTTGTGGATGCACATAATGATATATTTTAGGGAAAATCTATAATGCTAACCTTGTTACATGGGAGAAGAGGGAATCTGTTTAATGTATTGATTTATCTTTATCTTGCTAGGGTTGTTTATTCTCATCATGTAGGGTTGGTAAAAATTTAGGAGAATTTTATTTATGGGTTTTCATTTTATCTTCATTTCATAGGGGTGTTAGTTTAAACTTGTCTGGAGGAGATAGTTTAACCTCAGATCAGAGGATTGATGAAGGGGCGATAGACTTATATGTTTTTCATGTCATTTGGTGATTTTGTAAAATTCATAGTAAAATGAAGATTTCTTATTTTCATATTTTTTGTGAAAAGTAGGAGCAGTGTATTTTTGGTAATTTTGAGAAGGATCATATTTTTTTACGAGGGAGCTTTGACTTTAGTAAATGTATGGGTCAATGAAATAACTATAGTTATAAATTTTTATGATCTCTTATTAAAATTTGGATTGCTGAATTTTTAGGAAGTTTTAAAATAATTTCAAGAGATAAAATTGTTGTGATTAAATCAAATGGAATATTGATTAAAATTTCTTGGTGGATAGAGTTTGATGAGACAAACATTCTGTAAAACTTTTTATAATTTACAAAATTTTCTAGAACTTATTGGTATTTTTTGAAAATTCACTGATCATTTGGTACTTTAAAATATGAGATTTTGAGCTGAAATTTTTTTGGTATGCAAAGTTAATTGAGAGTAGTGATTCACCAATATTATAATTTTTCTTTGGAGATTTTAAAATTTTTTGTTAAATATGGGATGTTGCAGCACATACTACTTATATTGATTGAGGTCAGCACGAAATTTTTAGTTTTTTAGTTTGCTTTTGGATAATGGTGCTCTTAGGTGATTGAAGGATAACTGATTATGATGGCTAATAGATTTTACCATTTGGAGAAAATAACTAACATTGAATTCTTTCCAAACGAGGTTTAGTGATTTTATTTAAGTATTATGCATTTCAGTTTATGAATTTGGTTTATGATATGCTAAAATTTTAGATTTTGGAACCTTGTCGTGTTAGAACCAATTTTAGATTTTGGAATTTTGTCGATTTAAAACCAATGATTTGATTTGGTTTAGATTAACCTGAGTTTGTATAAACTTGAATTTGAGTTGATTGACAGGAAAAGATCAGTGGAATGTTTGATTGATTATAATGCCAACATTTGAAGTTCTCCATAACAATGTTTTTAGAGCTTCATTCATCACAGGAATGAATTATAGGCACTCTGGTTTAAGTTTATTTGTTCCATCATCCATGTGGGGTGTTTCATGCCACTAGCTTGCATTTCTCTTATTCAGGTGCCATTAGAGAGTTTCATATATAAAAAATGGTATGACTGGCAATGTGTATTACTTTTGATATTTTCAAGAGATTCACACCCAACATTTAAATGTACATGCTTTGGAGCGATTATTACATTTCTCCCTAATGAGAATTGGTCATGTTTTGATTGTAGAGATCTAGAGTTATACCATACTCCATTATGGGTTTACTTTACTCCATTATGGGTTAGAACTGCCTTAGCTGTTGGAGAATGGCAAACTTGTGGTCGAAACCTCACATCACTTAGCTTATGGATTGCATCCCCATGTAGGTAACAACATTGATAGTTATGGTAGGTCATAGGCTCTTTAGTATTTAGATCCAACATGAAAAACTTCATAGAAACATAGAAAGGTAAATGCAAGAGAGATAGAGTATATGAGTGAGGGAGAAAAAAGTTTAGAACACACCATTCACCTTCTACTTGTGTGAGTTTGCTCTTAGAGCTCGTTTGGGCAGCCTTTTCGGCGCAACATGTTTTGAAAACGCCCGCAATAATGTTTAGATATTGCGTTCAGTATGTGTTTTGGAAAAGCTGACTGTGATACATAATAAATGCGGGTTGCGGGTTTGACCCTGCGGCCCGCGTTTCGTCTTTCATTTGTCTTCGGCTTTTACTGCCTTACCTCGGGCTCTCCTCGCGTCTCTCTCTCCCCTCTCTCGCGAGCTTTTCTCTTTTGTCCTGCTCTCCCCTCTCATGATTATGCCCTAAAGGTAACATAGGCTCTCCTCTTCTCAGATTCAAGGCTCTGGTGACAAGGATTTGCCTTTCTTCTCCTCTCTCTATCTCCTTCGTTCTTCGGCTTCGTTTGGTTTATTTGTTCTTCATTGGCCCACGGTATTTTCTAACATTATATATTCTGGCATTTTGATTTTGTGATCATTTTAGCTTCTTTGAGGTTCATTCAGTTGATGATTTTTGGGTGGTTGTGCACCGATGTTGGATTTTGCACGTTCTGTTATTTGGATTTTGTAATTTTCTTTAGTGTTCGTATTGTGACGGGTTGTTCTGTGATATTGACCTCTCTGTATTCTATTTGATTTGATTGTTTCCCTTCTATGTTATATTCAATTTGATTTTGCATTTTTCTGTGATATTGGGCTCTCCGTGCTCTATTCGGTTTGCGGAATGTTTTGGGTGGTGGTGGTGGTTACTGTGATGCTTCTTGAAATATTTCAGGTGGTGGTGGTGGTTATTGTGATGTTGCATGAAATTTTTCGGGTTGTGGTGGCGGTGGTTATTGTGATGTTGCATGAAATTTTTCAAGTTGTGGTGGTGGTCACCGTGCCAAAATTCTTCGGATGGTGATGGTGGTTATTGTGATGCTGCCCGAAATTCTTTGGTGGTGCTGGTGGTGGTGGTGGTTACTGTGATGTCCAAAATTCTGATGTTGCACGAAATTTTAGTAATGTTGTTCAGTGTTGTTGGCCGAATATGGTTGTCCTGTGATGTTGGTGGTTAATGTGGTGGTGTGTTAGTGATGAAAATGTTGGTTTGGTATGGTGATGATAGATGTTATTATGTATTGAAGCTGATTTTTCCCAAACACAACCTCACCGCATCAACCAAACAGCCTCAGATATGGTGATTGAAGTGTTGTCTTGATGTCTGGTGTGTGGAGGTGGTGGTGGTGGTGTTGTGGATGTGTTGATGTCTGTGTGTGGAGGTGGTGGTGTTGTGGATGTGTTAATGTCTTGATGGTTTTGTCTCTTCCGAGGCATTTGAGTACTATCTTGGATAGTCTTTGTTGCAGGCTGAAAATGTTGTTCCCGAGACCTATACT